TTTTGGTAACATATTTCAAGAGATTTATAACAGTTAGAGATTAAATGTGAAGAAGATAATTATATATTAAAAATAAATTTATAATTAAAATAAAATTTAATGTATTATGAATTTAATCATTGTTAAGTACAATTATCATTAATTATTCTTTACACTATTAATTATATATTTAATAATATATTTTAAGTTATATTAATAGTTAATTATATTAATTTTAATTACTAATTATACAATTAAATTAAAATAATATTAGTTTATGCACTAATTATACAATTAGTTTTTTAAATTAAATTTACTTAATTATTAATAATTTAATTATATTATTAGTTAGATCAATAATAACTTAGAGCGTCTGGTTTGCTTTTCACTTCTCTTAGTTTGTTGTTTCGCCCTTCGTTGAGGTTGTATTGGGTTCGTTTGGGACGACGTCACTGCTGTTTTTACTTTATAAAAAGTTACCAATGATCGTTTTGGGGCATTGCGGCCAGAACCAGGTTTGAAAAAATTTGCGGCACACATCTGCTTTCCGTGACCTTTCGCTGTCCTCCTACGGTCCGCTGCGTTCCGCGGTTTCGAAGAGGCAAAAAATGACGTAAATCCCACTTGAAAAATATTACGCGACCTTCGTCCATTCGTCGTGCGCTTTTCGCAGCCAAGTAGTCTCTATCTCCTGCTCTCAACATGACACGCCCCCCGATGCTGTCACTGAAATCTCTGTCGTAGACTTAAGAGCGGCAGCATCTCGCACTGTTGGCGCTGCTCTGTTCCAAGCAGGCCTTCTGCCGCATGGGTTGCCGTCCGAATGCTTCGTGTTCCGCAATAAAAGTACTGCTACCAGCCTTTCACTCCTCGTGAGATACAGCCGCCTCCTTTCCACCCACCGCTCTGCACAGCATCCATACCCTGCCAACCACTTGTTAGGAATTTTCAATCTCCCGGTAAAGACTTGCAATCTCTATCTAACGAGTCCACACCCCTCTTTCCTTCTTCGACACTCTAACTCTCATCATCCATGGAATACCTAGGGCTCGCCCATATTAATTCGTGGTAGCCGCCGATGAACAACAATACAGAGATATCGCTGGATATGGAGATGGCGGACTGCTGAAAGGCTTTAGGCGTTTAAAGTGAGTAAATTGGTAGGAGCGTGGAAAATGGTTTTTGGAACAGGCGTTTTGTGGGAGGAGAGGACGGGAAGGAGGAAGGTTGTGCGAGCTTTGAAAGAGAAGATGGAGGATGAAACGATTAGGGGTCAAATCTGCCAGTTGCTTATAGATAAGAAGAAGCATAGCTCTGCTCGAGTAGTATTTCAGCAATGTTCTGCAGTTTATTGTATCAAAGTATTAAAACTCATGTAGAGCATTCGAGCTTCAAATGTAAAGAAATATTAATTTGACTTGACCGAGAACTTAGATCTTATTTGTGATCCTACAGAAAATCCTATCTAGTTTTGTCTTCAAAAACGGACAGGGTAGCTTAAATGATAGTTGCATAAAGGTATTTGAATTATATTTGTGTGATCCAAAGGTGGGAGTTCCTGAACTAAACCTGCAGAGCAAATTCTGAAATCCGATCAATTGTCCCTGTTTTTCCAATATAAGTGTGTCATTGTCTTGCATTTTAAAATTAGATCAAAGTGATTCTTAAAATCTTTTATGAATTTCATTGTATGTATGTACTTTTGACCATCGGAAAAGTTTCCTTGTTCAACTGTATTATTTGTCTCGATTTTGCAAGACGGAGTAATTTTCATAGACAGTTAACGGCTCCTAAATTAGTGAGCTGGTTGGATATTGCTTGAGGATAATCAGGGAGGCAACAAGATGATGAAAGTACGGAGGAGAATGATTCATTTTATGAGCAGAGGAAATCTACAGATGCATTGATGATGAGATAAATTAGGAAGTTTCATATGTTGGCAGTATGTTTAAATTTTTTGATTTAGTTTGTGAATCTATTAGATGAAATATTTTTCACTTTACCAAATTATACAGAGAATTTTTCATGGATCAACGAAGTACTGGCTTATAGTACTTAATCTTGTGATATTTAAACTGTATTGAATCCAACGTTAGTATATGCATGGCGTCTTTAGATGGTAATATTTGTTCACTTTCGATTTCCCCATCAAAACCTTTTTGCTGCCATCAATTATAAATTATGTATGTAACATAATTGTTTTTGAGATGAAGGATTTTTAAATTTGGTTTTGCAATTTGGTTTCAATGTCATACAATTTAGATGGTTTTGACTGTTTTGATTTTCTTATTCAGTTTTTTTTTTTTTAAGTAGTAGAATTTTTTTTAAAAATATCAGAATAATGTATTAAAAATCAAATTGTGCAAAATAAATATTAGAAGAAATATCAATTTATTAAACAACCCTTTTTAGTCTTATACTATGATGTTCGTGTGTCCAAATATATGTTCCATAGGTGACATTAATACGGCTCTATGCTTTAATTTTAAACACGAAGAATATAATTTGTAATAAAATAAATTCTTATATTATTAAAAATTTTATCTTTTTTAATTTATATATATTTCTAAATATTTATAAGCTTACAGATTTCAGAAAAAAAAAATGATGCAACCAAACTTTTGATCTTTAAGCATTATGTTGATATAATTTTTTAAAAAAAGATCAATCAAAGCAGATTTTTATTATTACAAAAAAATATTTTACTATAAAATAATAATTGAGAATCTAAAAAACATAATAAATTAATTTGAAGTATGATAAAAAAAGTTAAGTTAAAATTTTATAGTTTTTTATATATAAACTTATAAAAATATTTGATAAAATTATTTAATTTAATTCAAAATGTTAGTTGATTATTATATTTATCTCAATATAATAGGCTTTTAATCTTCTCTTATTCGTCCATGCTGTTCGGCTTCGTTGCTTCACAGGAGGTGTTGTGATTGCACGAGTCGCTTCTTGGTCTCCTTCGTTGCTTCGCAGGAGGTGTTGAGATTGCGCGAGTCGCTTCTTCGGCTCCTTCGTTGCTGTTCGACTTGGCTACTTCGTTGCTGTTCGACTTCGCTCCTTCGACGACGTTCCCTTCCTGTCGGATCGGACGTTACAAAACTTTGATCTGAAGCAACGACGGGAGCTCCCTCTCGCTCGCCGTGAAGGTAACTTCCTCCCTTTCACGCGCTTCTTCGGCCAAATCCCGTAAATCCGACTTCTAGAGGATTAGGATTTACAGTGATTTAGCGGATTTACGCCGTAAATCCGCAAATCCGGGATTTACGGATTTGCCGGATTTGCCGCGACAGTTTTTGCGTTTGGCTGGATTTACCGTAAATCCTACTAAAAACTCGAAATAAATCCGATACCAAACACCCCCTAATTCCGGGATTTAAGGCACAACGGAAGAGAAACGGGAGTTAAGATTCTGTAGGATTTAAAGTTGTTTTTTTGGCTGTTTGGCAGGTTACATTAAATCCTGCTGAAATCCTGCTACCAAACAGCCCGTCAGATATGGAGAAGCCGAAATTGCAGATCTTCAACTCTATGTCGAAGCAGAAGGAGGATTTCAAACCGATTGAAGAAGGGAAGGTGGGCATGTATGTTTGCGGTGTGACGCCTTACGATTTCAGTCATATCGGGCATGCTCGTGCTTATGTAGCGTTTGACGTCCTCCACAGGTTACTTTTTCTTTGATTTCATCCGCCAACAGTAGAACTTCATTTAACTAAATTTTGTTTTAGCATTTGTAAATGCTTGTAGCCAAGGGGTTGAAAATTGGTATTTTAATGAATTATTGTCTCTTCTGTTTTGGGATATTTGAGAACCTTATGCCATGTGCTAATTACCTATTCAAAACTGCATTCCTTTTTAGTTATATGTTTAATGAGGATTTTTTTTTGTTGCTTTCAGATATTTGAAGTATTTAGGATATGAAGTTAAATATGTGCGCAATTTCACGGACATTGATGACAAAGTAAGTTTACCTTAATGATTCATTCGTTTGATATATAGCGCACATTAAGTGAGCAGTTATAGCTTTGGAAAATTTTATTGTGCTTGCTAATTCTTTCTAATTTTTAGCTCATTAATTTGTTTCTTATGTTTTGACATAGCTAATTAGTGGTTTGGGTTTGCCCTTCGTCTTGGGCCAGGCTTGTGCTTGAAATGATGCCAAGTTGGAGAAACAAGTCAATGTACATATATAAATATTTATAGTTGGTTGATCTTTTTTCTGTTTAATATGTATCGAAGCTTTGGAAATGACTTTAAGGGTCAGGCATGGGAAAAAAAATATTGAATTGGGAGCTCCTCTAGCGTTCAATGATCAATTTATTTTTTAAGGAAATTAGAGCATCATCAGTCATGTAAGTGATTTTAAAAAACTTATGCTCTACATCAGTGATGATAAACTACGGGCAACAAGGAATTCATATGATAGACATCTTCCATTTCTTATTTGTCTTCCATCTTGTTCAAAAGTTGAGCTTTCATTGCATGAATATGTTTAGAAATCCTAGATATATGTTCAAAAAATGACTTGATGGCTGCTACCATAAATTTGGTTCCGTGATCTAATTTGGGAAGTAGGAGCTTACCTTTTGCTTCATTTCCATCTAACATTACAAATTTCTTGATTGCACTGTGCTATACAGTTGGTTTTGTGTTCTCAATTAAGCATTTCTACTGAATTTTTAGACTATTCTCTGGCTCCTTTAACCTTTTGCAGGTACTGTTGTTAAAAAATTGTGTTCTTACAATATCTAGTCATTAGTTTTCTTAAACATGAATTACATTATTTTTAAATAACCATAATGTGTGGTGATTTATCATGTGACATGCGGACTATGTTCAATGTTTTTATATTGGCTTTTGCTAATGTTGAAGGCCTCTTGCTTAGGGGTTGCCATGTTTTGGTAGTTATGGAATCCTTTTCCAAGTCATAGGCTCGGCAACTTGTTTTGAATTGTTGGATGGAATATTGGGCTACTCTCAAATTTAAGTTTATCTTTTATTAGTTACAATAGTCATGGGCTATGTGTATGTGGCAGTTATAGTAATAATTTTAAATATTAGTTCTACTTTTCGTGATTTGGCTCTGGAATCTTACTCTTGGAAGGTTGCAGCTTGTTCTTGTCTGTATTTTTCTTTATTTGCAGATCCATCTGATTTTTGCATAACTTGCTCCCTCTTTGCAAGTGAAAAGTATTTTAAATGGTTCTTTTAATGTTTATATTTTATGCCTGCGTATTGAAGTAGTCATTGTTTCATATATAGCAGAATAGCGATGATCTCGTTGGCTGAAGTCTCACCCTTGGAATTTTACGAATCCGATGTATGTATTGTTATGCTTGCGGGTATGGTTCGTTGAGGGCCCATTTGGTTGCTTGTTGATATAAAATACTTTGTAAAAAGTGATGATTTCATTTTCCTTTATTTTGTGCATATAAATAAATCATTAATAAATTTGCTTTGGCAGTTTCTTCAAAAAAAAAAATTAAAATTAAAATCCATGGTGATTTCTCATTATATTCAACAAGATGTTGAAATCTATCAAATTTCATAGTATTCAAAATACATTTGTCTAAAACTAACAAAATGCGCCCTCGACAACTTCTTGTTGTTTTTGAAACTATGTCGGGCCTTCTCCTTTTTTGGGTTGAAAATAAGTTCTCATTACTTTTCAATCTCTTTTTCATATTAATTTTTCTTTATTCACTCTATGCATTATTTATCAATTTTAGTTTCAATTCATCTCTACTGAAAAGGAGCGTCAGCAAACTATTTTTTCTTATACTATGCTTCGCTGTGAATTGTCAAGTTATTCGAAATAAATGCTAATTTAAAGAACTCTGCTGCTGCCATTTTTGCAGATCATAAAGAGGGCGAATGAGAAAGGTGAAGACCCACTGAGTTTAAGCAAACGCTTTTCTGAAGAATTTTTATACGATATGGCTGAACTGAATTGTCTCTCTCCAACTCATGAACCACGTGTTTCTGATCATATAGACCAGATTAAGGATATGATAACTAAGGTATTTTCATCTTTTATAATTGAAATTCTAAAAATCTAGTGTCAATTTAAAATTTGTGCAGCCAAACTAAAATTTGTTCAGTCAAATATTGTTAACTTTTTCACATTAGGCTTGTTGATATTACACATTCATCCTGAAATAGTTTTTAATAATTCTTTCCAAGGAACTTTCATTTGTTTTTTATGCACTTGGTATGCTTTATTTTATTAAAAGTTGTATTTAAGCAGATAAACATCTGCCATTTTTCAAAATGGTTGCGAATAAATGTTACTTAAGCTTTTGATTTTATGACATAAGAACTGTAGTATGGTGAGAATGTTAGGATAACTCTTTTATTTATGGACTCATGTATTGCATAGCTCTGGTGTAGTTAAGGTCCGACTTTTTTATCTTAATTATCATATATGTTTATAATATGTCTTTTCTTGTCTGTGAGTAGTTTCTAGAAGCACTTGTCTTAAATTTCATCCACATGTAGTTAGCCTCTAGCTTTCTTAATGAAACAATTTGTGAATTTGGAAACCTTGAGTTACATTTTCTGTTTTCAGATTCTGGAGAACGGACATGCCTATACCATTGAAGGTGATGTTTACTTCTCGGTTGACACCTACCCTGATTATTATTGTTTATCTGGACGGAAGTCGGACGATAATCGTGCTGGCGGAGGTGGCCGTGTCCTTGTCGATACAAGGAAACACAATCCAGCTGATTTTGCATTGTGGAAGGTATATCGTTTGTGCCAATCTGCTCTTCTTCCTATTTTTATGTGCACATCAAATAGTTAAGTGCTTGACCTTTTGTTTTGCATGGCAGGCGGCGAAGCTTGGCGAGCCAAGCTGGGAGAGTCCTTGGGGTCCAGGAAGACCCGGATGGCATATTGAATGCAGTGCTATGAGTGCACACCATTTAGGTGATTATTTCGATATTCATGGCGGAGGGAAGGACCTGATGTTCCCACATCATGAGAATGAGATCGCGCAGAGCCGATCCGCCTGCCCGCAAAGCAAAGTGAACTTTTGGATGCATAATGGCTTTGTAAACAGGGACAATCAGAAGATGTCCAAATCTGACAACAATTTTTTTACCATTCGTGATGTAAGTATTGTGAAATTCTTATCTTCTTTTATGCATCTGCCTCTCAAGTTACATTTGTAAGATTCATAGTTTCATAATCTAACCTTGCTGGTTTTTGTCACGTCAGATTATTACCATTTATCATCCATTGGCTCTAAGGTTTTTCTTATTGCGAACTCACTACCGTTCTGATGTCAATTATTCTGATAAAGCACTTGATACAGCATCAGATCGAGTCTTCTACATGTATCAGGTAATTTTGGTTTCCTTTGGGACGGCTTTCTTACTGCTTCTGAAAATACATTTTTAGTATAACAGTTAAAATTGTTGTACTAAAAAGCTGCTTTCAGAAATAGTAAGAAAGCCATCCCAAACGAAGCCTTTGTTTTCTTTGGACTGCAACATAAGTTTACTACCCATTGCGTGTTTAAAGGAGTTCCACTGTACTCAGGAGCTGAAATTTATTTTATGCATGCAGACTTTACATGAATGTGAAATTGCTTTATCCCCATTCCGAAGTGAAATTTTCAAAGGACAAGTGCCTGCAGATGTCAAGGAACAGATTGAGAAGTTCCATACTGAATATCTATCCTCGATGTCTGATGATCTGCACACCACTACTGCTTTAGACGATCTAGTTGATCTACTTAAGTCGATCAATGGCACATTGAAGAAGTTCAAAGTAGTACTTTCTTATTTTTCTCATCTCTGATATGAATCTACAATAACTGGCATTAAACTTATATTCCTTTGCAGGGGAAAAAGCAGCAGCAGCCATTGATTCTCTCTCTTCTTGCATTGGAAAAAGAAGTGAAGGATTTTCTTGATTCTCTGGGTCTCTTATCTCTCTCTACAGTTTCTGAGGTAACTTGCAAGCTATATAGAAGCAATCTAGCTGTGCATTCTTTGAAAGCTCAAGGTACTGTGTTTTTTGTCCTATAGGTTCTGCAGCAATTAAAAGACAAGGCATTGAAGAGGGCTGGATTTACAGAGGAGGAAGTTCAGCAGAAGATTGAGGAGAGAAATCTAGCAAGAAAGAATAAAGAGTACGAGAAATCTGATTTGATCAGGGAGGAACTTTATCTAAAGGGCATATCCCTAATGGATGAACCAAAAGGAACCATTTGGAGACCATCTGAACCTCCTGAGAAAAAATTAGAAAAACATGTTGATACCCTTATAGATAAGCCCATATCATAATCTATATTATTACATATTTATGGATTCTATAAGTTAATGTGATATTATCCTAACACATAAATCCATTAGATGTTAAAGATGATCATCACATACAACTGTTGAATTGAGTGCTTCATGAAGGGTTCTTTTTTATTAAATTAAGAGATGTAAGTTTAACATGTAAGCCTATTTTTGCATGACATTGATAACAAATTTAGAAATGTATTCATCAATCACATTGAGCAATTGTTAGAGGTAAACATAGAGCATTCCCTAAACTACAGAGAATGAATGTTTCTATGCTAAATTAGGCTAAAACATAGATCACCAGCACATATATTTATTTGCGTTACTAACTAATGAATTTTGCCATGAAGATCTTGATCTTGGTTGTTGTAAAATTTTAGGCTTTATTTGGGACGGTTTTCTTTGGGTGCGTTTGGGACGTGTTTTTCTTGCTTCACTTTATGTAAAGTAATTGAAGGATTGTTTGGGGCGCCAAGTTCATGCTCCGTTGTAAAATTTTTTGCGTCCCGTGGTTACTTTTGCTGCCCTAAGAATGCCTCATGCGGTCCGCTGCTTTCCGCGGTTTCGAAGGGCATAAATGAAGGAAATGCCCCACCTGCAATGTTTGCTATAGGCCAACGTTGCGACCCCCTCAAGCTCATCCATCTCGGACTCACCTTCTCCATGCTCTCGGCAGTCTCCCGACCTCTGCCTCTCCGGCCCGCCTCTGCATCGGGAAGTTCAACTTCCACGAGTTCCCCGCCACTCACGACGTCTACGCCTCCAATCTACTATGAGTCTTTTGACCTGACAGTTCCATCAATCCACCGATTCCTGGCCCCGAGCTCTTCCGCTCAATCAAATGAGCCCCGACCCTCTCGCCGATCACTCCTGATCCTGGGTCTAGGCGGTGTGCAGAGCATGCAAATGGAAGGCAAGGCCGGCATGCTTCTCTATTTGTTCGAGAGAGGAGGCAAGGGGTGGCTGGTGGCGTTAATTTCTTCCATCTGGCCCATGGACAGTAGGGGCTGGGGTCCATTTTTTTTCTAAAAAAATAATCTCTAGTTCCAGTCCTTCCTTAATCCTGGTGTGTGTGAAAGCTGCAGAAAAATGCTCTTACGTTATCATCTTCCTTCGACACCACCTGCAATTGGAGCTCGAGAGACAGAGAGAGCAGAATCGACCTACGAAAGGGCCTTGAGGCCAAGATTGAGCACAGACAGGTATTGAAGAACTTATTCCTTATCAGAACCAATTCCTTCTCATAATTATTACAAAAAAGAAGCAAAGATTTGTAGGTGGAAGGCAATCCGATACCTGAAGCAATAAAAAAAAATTCTATTGCCTTTGTTCATTCGATGTGCTTTCCTAGAGGTGTAGGCTTTCTTCTTTCATCAAAGTTTTATTACCACGAGCATGCTTTCTAAAAAAAAATTGTCTGAAATCAAAATAATTCCTGACTTTGTGGCCAAAGTTTATTTGTTTACAGACCATATACATCAATTTATACATCATTTGATGCTTGATCTTTACTTGAGTATATAAGAGTGTAATAGACTACAGTAGGAATATGAGAAATGTGAAACTCACGGTTCTAGCTTTGTTCTTTGTCTCTGTTATCCTTTCTTTGCTGTCCTGTTTCTGTTATACACTTATTGCAGGAATGTACAGGGAGATGCCGATCTTTGTTTGATGAAGTTCTTCAATTTTGTCTCTTGTTATAATCTGAAGGTTCTAGAATTGGTAGTGTAATTTCATTTTCACAAATGAATTCATGAATTTTATCATATTTATATTATGGCTGCTATGGTTTTGCTTGAAAACAATCTTTTAATTCAGTGATCAGGATTATTACGAAGTTGTAAGAGAAGTTGGAAGAGGTAAATATAGTGAAGTTTTTCAAGGCATTAGTGTCTTTAACATGGGTTGCTGCATCATTAAAATCCTCAAATCTGTCAAGAGAGAGAAGGTTTTGTATGTCTGTTTCATGCAAAAATTGTCTTTTGAATTCTAGAAGCCATAAGGCTGCACCAATGGTGATCCTCTAATGTTAACATTTGCTAGTTGAAGATGCCCTACGAACAATTTTGTTACACTTTTGGGAATCTTTGACGCAAGTGACAAAATTTGACATATTTATATTTTATGGCAGATGAGTGAGGTCGCACTTCTTCTGGATGCTGCTTCTCGCCTTGAGGAGCCCTTGATGGTTATTGTGGTAATTAAAAAAAAAAAGTAGCAGGCTTCTATTTTGATTCAGGGGCTGTTTGGTTGCCTGAATTAAGAGTGTAAAGTAAAACAATTACATGTATTTATTAAATTTGGTTGTTTGGTTAATTTTGAGCGGAACAAAAGAAAATCCTACGAAGTATTAGGCGTGTATTAGGAGGCCTGTTTACTGCGAATTAGAAACCTGCTCATATTGAGCGGGTTATAAATTCGCTGGATGAAGCCTTCGCATCATCCTCGTTGCTATTCAGCTTCATTGCTTCGCAGGTGGTGTAAGATTGCATGAGAGGCTTCTTTGGCTCCTTCGTTCTTGTTCGACTTCGCTCCTTCGATGACATGCCCTTTGCCTGTCCGATCGCTCCTTCGACGACGTGCCCTTTGCCTGTTTCGGCCTCTGCTGCTGACTTTGTCGCCGTCTTCGAGAGGAACTTTGGCGCCGCCTCAGCCTCACGCCCAAATTTCATGGTTGAGGGGTTTATGGACGCACTGCAGCGATCGCAGCGGGAGTTCAAGCTGCTGTTTGTGTATCTGCACTCGCCGGACCACCCTGACGTGCCGGTCTTCTGTGCAGAATTTTAAGTTGTTCTAGATAATTTCAATAAGAACAGAGTCCTTTCATCCTTGTGTTAAGTATTTTTGTCACCAAACTTGGTTATAATATGTGTTGGCCATTCTTGGGGATCCCACTTGTTTTGAATTCTAAACCTACAGGCCTTTCTATGTTAAGATGAAGGTTATTTACTATAGAGTACTGACTTTTACTAGACAAATAGCAGCCTCCTAAGTAAAAACATGTAAGAAGTGGAGGCTAATGCAATGATTGAGTTTTGATGGTAGCAAGATTTGAAACTGTGCAATTAGGTATTGAGACATTCTATGTTCATATGGGCGAGGTGTAAATCTCGAGGCGTTTAAGTCTCGCAATTGATGAGTATAATTTGGTGTAGAAACTTTGAGTAGTCCTGGACATAGGTGACCTGTTCACTTCAGATTGACCATGTTCCATTTTCTCAACTTAGATTATGAATTCTTTTTTTAACCTACATTTTGTACTTAGAAAATTTCAAAAAAATTCTCCTTCGAACTTAATTCTTTGTTCCAAGAATAGTAGTACTAATGCTGCCTAAATTAGTGCGATAATCATGAAAACTTTGAACATGAATCAGGCTTAGTTTTTCCACCCAAATCAAGAGAAATACATCTTCATAGAGCACTGAAACAGCTTGTCTTAATCTTCTATCAATCAGTCAGTATTCTGATATATCAAATAAGCATACAAATTTTCATTCCATGTATCAGGAACACCTGGAAGAAACCAATGGATACAATCTGCATAAACATTTGACTCTGCTATCTGCTCTCTTGTCAATAATTTCGCTCTTCTCTCTGTGAAAACCGAAGTGTGGCCATCCTTTCTGAATTCTGATAGCTGTGTGATATTCAGAATTTCGAAGTGTGACAATCCTTCCTTTTATAGGTTAGCTTTCATTATGGCAGGTTTAAGTTCTCCCACCTCCCCATTCCCAGCTCCTGCAAGTGCATAGTAAGTCTTATTAGACTACTAAATTTTAATTCAGAGCATTCAAAACCATTCATTATTTTATTCAATCTGATGAACAAACCAATAGAAAATGAAAATTTAAAGTAAAAGCATATTTAAAATATGGCAATCTCATTGTTGCGTCCTGGAATATTCGCGGCGGTAGAGAAATCTATGGTTTAATGTCTTAGCATTGTACGAAGATCCAGCACACAAGCAGATAAGAGAGGGGGTGAAACATTCACAAGAGATACCAGAGTTTTTACGTGGAAAACCCCTAAAAAGGGGAAAAAACCACGGGGCCTAGCCCAGTTTGAATGAATCCACTAGTATTTGTAGTCGATTACAAATGAGGTCCTTCATTGGGAGAAGGCCTTGGATTGATGTAGCAAATGTACATCATATAGATTGTATTACGTTGTAGGAGTTAGATATACATGTTTGTCTGGTCGGAAGGATCGTAGTCGGCAGGAGACCGGGATCAGAAAGACCGTTGTCTGTTGATGGAGGTTGGAAGGACCATAGTAGGCGATGAAGGCCTGAAGGATCGTAGTCGGTAGGAGACTGGGGTCTGAAAGACCGTT